GAATGTGAAGATACGGCAGACCTTTTATTGATATTTGACAAATTGTTCGATTCTTTTAATGGTCACTCTTACTGTGATACAGCAAAAGTTCTTAAAGGGTGTCTTAAGAATAATTCCCCACATATTCAGTTCTGGACCCAGGAAATAATCCCGATTTTAAAATCAATACAATTTGAAAAACATATTATACAAAAAGATGGTTCAAAAATTGTCAAATATGAAAAAATCCCATCTGTTCAGAACTGGATACATAATGTAAATACTATCATAGAACTGTGGAATTATTTACGAAAAAAATTTAAAATAAAAAATATTATAATGAGAAATTTTAACCAGGATCCCCTAGAAAATTTCTTTTGCTGTATAAGAAGTAATGGAATCAGAAATATCAATCCAACGTGCATGCAGTTTATGAATGCATTTAAAACAGTTTTGATTAATAACATAAATTCAAGCCATTCTATTAATGCTAATTGTGAAAAAGATGATTATGAGCAATTGCAATCGTTGAAATTTTTATTGTTAGAAAAATGTGACTCTCCCTGCTACACTGATTTTGCATGCGAAATTGATTCTTTAATTACTGCTTTGAATGAAATAACATCAAGTGAATCGATTATACATGTTGAGGCGAAAAGATATGTTGCTGGTTATATAATAAAAAAATGTAAAACAAATATTTATAAAAAATGTGAAGTATGTAATGTCGATTTACTGGAATCTGAGAGGAATGTTGATTCATTTAATTATGCAATTGATTATACAAAGAAATCTTTATTTTATGCACGCGATGATTTTGTTAAACTTCTCAATGAAATTTATTTTATGATTATTGCATGTTTAAGGGATACACCTCAAATGACCGATATTGATAAAAAAATTATTTTCTTTATTGATTGTCGATGTGATTTTTCAATGATCAGTTGTCAAAAACATAAATTGGTGTTGGTTAAGTATATCATTACGTTATCAATTAATTTAATCATTAATAGTTGGTGCACTGGTGTCAATAGATTATTAAATGGGAAGATTGTTGATTTTGATCGTAATGATGAAATAAAATTACAGGCTTTCAATTATAATAAAATACATCGTAAGAAAAAGTGTTAATTAAATATTTTTCTATCAAATGTGTAAGATAGATAAACATGGTCTTTTTATTTATTTATTTATCATTTTAAAGTAAAGATTTTTGTGTGATAATTTGTCCCATTATAATATACTTGTTAACTTACTAAATATCATCCCAGTAATTCTTCTATGTTGATGTCAGAATTTCTTCCTTACTTGATGAAAAAAAAATTGTAAATATTTAATTATTCTTCAATCTTTGTATTTTGTCTTACGTTTAATTCTCATCAAAATTTGTTCAGTCAATTTTTACGAGACGTGTTAAGATTGTTTATCTATTTTATCATATTAAGTATCTATGGCTGACTTTTTGTATTTTCAAGTACACACGACTGCACGTCAGGGTACCATGAACTGTCAAATTTCTCTAGTTCATTTTAAACTCTACTTTCAAACTCTTAAGGTTGTAACGGTGCGTCGTACCACCGTTTATTTCGTCCTAAGTTTATCAACTGAAATAGTAACTGTCAATATTTTGCAAACTTAATTAATTAGCTTTATTATTTTAATCATACAAATTGAATATATTTTACATGAAGATAAAAAAAACAGCCTAAAAAAATGATTACTGTAGGTAACATGCATTTCTGATTCCTGATTTTCTTAAGTAAGAGAGAGAATTACTTTTATAGTAATATCTGTAATGGAATAAATTAAGATTATCATTTATAGAAAAAGAGTCGGGTGCTTGAGAAAGAAATATCGTCTAATTTTTTCCAATAATAATAGAAATCACAGTGACCAATGTTTATCTGATTTCTACTATTACCAATAAATCAATTTGATTATTTTATCTTTATAGTTTAGTTACATTTTATTATGTAATTTTATATGATCTGTAATTATATGAATAAAATACGCTAACTGAATTATACTGCTGGTTTGCTTGGAATATAGTATAAAGAAAATTATACATTTGCTCTTTAATTTATAAAAAAATATTAAATATGGGAAAAATATACTATAAAGATTTTTTGACTATATTTTATCCACATATCGACGACACTGGAAAGCAAACACGTAGTAACCCGCAAAACTTAAATTGTTCCTTAGGACAGAATAACTTTTTATTTTATTGAAAAAATATTTAACATCAACAAAACTCTAAATTGATTATTAGAGAAGAATTTTTTCGAATAAAATAAAAAGTTTTTCTGCTTTGAGAACAATTTTGGTTTTGCGAGTTACTAATAATCCCTAATAAACCAAATTTTAAAAATAGTTATCAGAGCCATCTATTAGAAATACTGGTCGTTACTATAACAGGTTAAATAGCATGCTTAAAACTTCGCATAGAAACTAACGCCATCTCTTGGCCATGGCGTCCGCTTAAAATGAAAATTATTCTTAAGTGGCGCATCTATACCAGTATTATGTATTATCTATGGCGTTACTGAGCGTCCTGTTAGGTCCACTTAGGCGGCTCGTCGGTGAGCGTGTTTATGTGTGCGTGCGATTTCGAACGCTTGTAGGCAGTTTCACCACTGTATACTTATATTTACACTGTGGCCATACAGCTAAATCTTGGGTGTATGTTGGTAGTACTATATTGTAATGGCCCAAGTTACATTTTAAATTTTGTTCTTCTTAAATAATGGCGTTGCCCTTGTGGATTTCACTAGAAATTTCATTTGGATTTCACAGTGTTCCGCTTAGTTTACTTCATATTTTAGTATTTTATAAACTCTGTTTTTTGTATGTTGGTAGTGAAAGCCCAAGTTATATAATGAATTTTGTTGAAGTTAAATTTTACCTGCTTGAAAGGGACTTACATAAATTAGGTATTACGGATGTTAGAAAATTCTCTTAATATAATTTATATAGGATGATGACGAAAGGGGAGTTCACATACCTTAAGACTGTTTTAAAATTGGGTTTGGGAATATATAAGAGAATGATGTCATACAAGAATGATAAAATGTGTCTTTCACTTAAGCCCTAAAATATCGATTTATCGTCTTTGTGAAGTGATATCGATAGTAAACGATGTGGATACCTAAATATTTAGTAAAAATCTTGGATCATGCTATATAGCTAGATAATGTAGTTTTAATAATTAAAAATATTTATTTAATAAGAGTAATCAATCATTTCAAAGATCCCCATAAAGTTTCTTAATTAAACAACAATTTCGCCCTTTTTAATTTACACCTATTTTTTTTCAGGTTACTACATAATGTATAAAAACTAAATATATCCATTATTAATAAATCTACGATTTTAAGTTAACAGATGCCTGTGTAGCTACTGAACGCAAACGTAATGATTCGCTGGCTCAGTTATATTGGTCTCTTCTTTCTATCTGCGTTTACACAATTCCGCCAATGTCACGTTTGTGGTCTTTACACGTAAAGAAACAATACTAAAATATGTCAATTTTTAATTTAAATAAAATAAAAAAGCACTGAGCGCGTCTATCTGATTACATTGTTAAAGATAATACAAACATAATGTATATAGAAAACAAAGATATTTATAAATTAAGAACATTATTGATTGCAAGGAGTTCAGATAGAATTTTGAATGGGCTGGGTTTCTCCATACTAAAGATTCATTTTATATTTGTTAGACGTCGAACTTTTGATGAGAGCAAATCATAAAGCGAAATGGATAAATTTGGACAATTAAATAATATATGATTCGTAGTTCCTTTTTTAATACCACAATCGCATAGGGGGTTGTCTTTGATGATGGGGTAAGTACGCGCCCTTATCTCATTTGTCAACGAAACAATAACCGACCAATGAAAGTAAGGAACATAAAGCGCCCACACGCCCCATACAGATACCATCGGGCAGTGTAACTAAACCATTATGAAAATTGTCTTCAATTTAAAATGATTAAAGTGCAGACTGTAGCAATCTGCTGCATATGAAAAAACTATATAGGTATCGTAACATTGCCATTTCTTATTATTTCGATATCTAATATTAGTTTTCAATTGATATACATTAAATGAAAAAAAGAAAATTACATAAGGTTTAATTAAAATCCTAATGTCAATGAAATTGTTTATTATTGCACCATTAAAATAACGACAGAAACCCAATTATTCTTTATAGCAATTTTAAAGAGATAATAATAAGAGGAATATAAATCTTATAAGGAGAATATTTAATATAAGCTCATTAATGCTGTCTGTCCTGCTGCAGCACGAAATTGTTTTTTTTTGTCCCTTAGGAAGAAACTAGTGCAGCGCCATTTTTAAAGTTTGCCTATCCCATTGGAAAGCGGTGCCGTTATAGAGCCAGATTTGAATTCAACAGAAATTATTAGTTTAGAATATAAGACAACACTTACATTGCTAAGATTCCAAGATGAGTAGCTAAAGCTTATTAAGGAGTATCAATAACAACGAAAGTTCCACAACACCCAGATCCGAGACAATATAGAATATTCTACATTGACCCGACCGAGAATCGAACCTAAGACCTCTGAGATGGCGAAACCTTGAAACCGGCATGCAGATAAGGAAAGATTGTGTGGCGTAAGTATATGTCCAGGAAGAAGAAGTGCACACGGCTGCATGTCAGGATATCACAATATGTCAAACTTCAGTAGATTTTATACTCTACCAAAAACACAATAAGGTTTAAAATCTAGTGGAGAAATTAGACATTTGTGCAACCTGACGTGCTGTTGACTATGCCTATCTTTTGACAGTGCCATGTGGCGCTCGGTACTCATTTAAAAGCAGCGTTTACACATTTTAATAAGTGCAATATCTCGAGATTAGTCATCACCGTTTATAATCTCATGTATTCTCCTAAGGCGCAACATTTATCGCTGCAAGTACCGCTGCATGATCAAAGCTTGTATATTTTCGTGCAAGACTCCTAAATACCTAGATTGGAATCTATTGTTAATAACTTATAGCCACCGTGCATGTTTCTTGCTGATGACAAATCAAAATGTTGGGCAGCGTATTGTATGATATATCGCTACCATTATCCACTTCAATCTAAGGCAATACAAAATGGCGCCGTTTAAATTAATCGCAGCTGATAGAAACATATAGTTCTTTGAATTGAACAAAGGCTTGAAAATACAACAGAAGAGAAGGAAAAAAGATGTCAACTTAATAGATTTGACAGTAGATTTACTGTTGTAATAATAAGACCATGATAACTCCTATAATTGCCTAATCACGTTAAACCGTACTCTTTGTGGTGGCTTTTTATATGGCTCTTTAAACTACAGTTTTGTATGAACGCCATACCACACACAGGGCAGACATATCTTCTGTCATTCGTGTGAATCCTCATGTGTTCTTTGAGAGTTTTCTCCCTAGCGTAAGACTTTTTACAGATCGAGCATTCATATATCCTCTCACCATTATGTTTCACCATATGGTGCCTCAATTCCACTTTAGTGAAACATCTGTAAGGGCACAATTCACAGTACACATCTTTCTGCTGTATATGAGTCCGCATATGAGTCGACAATGAGTATCTTCTATCGAAGGACTTATCGCAAACATTACACTTATACTCTATTGGAGCTACACCATGTACAAGGACCATATGTTTATGCCGTCTAAAGTATTCGTTGAACCGTTCCGGGCACCTGTTACATTTGTATTTCTTCACATTCTCGTGGACAGTTTCGACGTGAATCCTCCTTTTTTGTTGCGTAGTGAATTGCTTTTGACATATCTCGCATTCGTATTTCTCTTGTCGGCTCGTGTGCATCAAGTAGCCGTGTATTCTTAGCCTTTGTTTAGTGATGAAACCAGAATCACATTCTTCGCAAACGTAATTTCTATAATGAGTGTTCATATGTCTCTCTATTGAGCCAAACGTCTCGTAGAAATTTCCACATATCTGGCACACGAAATTGTTTTCTAACACTTTAAAAGGTATCACTCTGTCGGATAATTCCAGAAACATCTTTTTCTTGTGCACTTCAGTCAAATGAATTTTCAGATCTTTCAGACTTGATATTCCGCTGTAGCAAATTGTACACTTCAAATCTGTGACATCAGCGTATACGACCAGTCCGTCCGGTTTTCCGATTCTGTATTTCTTTAAGACACATTGACTCAAGTTTTCTTTCACGTGATCGGATATTTGGTGACGTCTTAGCTCTTCGAAATCTTCGTACAGTTTTTCGCAGTAGAAACAAGGGTACGCGCGCTGGTGTTTCGATTTAAAAGCTGTTACATTTGAGAATTCAAGTAGAGCTGTTATGTTCGTAGCGTGACTCAGTCTTTCTAATGTATATGGATTTTTCTCTCTCTCAATATCTATGTGTTTGTCCCTGTATTTTGTTTTCTGAATCCGTTTTTTCTTTGGTACATCTGTTTGCTTTTTACTATTGATACTTCTTTCAATTTTCTCCTTTGATTTGTAATTGTCGTTGTCTAGTAGCGACTGTATTGTTTTACCTGGAATCACTTTACCTGAAACATTATTAACAGTTCTAAAGTGTTGAAATTGTATTGGAATAAAATTTTTGCTCAGGCTCAGGTTATCTAGCAGTAGTCTATGATATCTACTTTTCTTAAATAATTTAAAAAGTGGTCGAAGTCTCAGGCGAAAAGCAAGTTGTTTAATAAGCAATATTTATAAATAAAAAATAAAGTTTAATGGAAACACTTTCAACTAAATTTTAAGGGGAGTCATAAGGTGGCGAGGTACAATGATAATCTAACTCTTGTGGGAAATCTCGAAGAGGTAGCAGGGGCTGCCGAAATCGGTGGCAGAAGATTGGGCTCAGGATAAATTAGAAGAAAATAAAGTTTTTCTTAAATATTAGAATACATTGCTAAATAAAGACCAAGTGGTGTTTTGATTGTTGGTTATTGACAGCTTGTTTTGATCTTGGGTAGGAACAAAATTACGCGACGCAAAACACATTTTATTTAAAAACTGCATCATTGAGTGGTTACATTCTAAGGGGCGTCTTTGACTACTATTCCCTAAAGTTGCGTTATAGCTGAATTAACCGAGTCCTATACTACCTTTTAACTCCTTCAAATGTTTTTCGAAGTCCCGGCAGACGTGTTTTAGCGAAGCACGAGTCGGCAAAGGTCTCAGTTGCCGTCCTGGAAACCGCGACAATAAAGTACTCTCACCATCTACAAGGTCTAAGCATTTCACTGGTGACGAAATTCTATCTGAAATATGTCATTATTGTAATAATTTAAACTTAATAAGTATTAAATGAGAAAGTAATTGTGTCTTACCTTCAAATATTTCACTTTTTTCACTATCGGTGTAGTCATCATCGCTCTGTCTTAACAACCATGACTCTACCTTAACGTTAGAAGGCTCTTCTATTTTTATGTTATCAAAACTATTCTTATTTTCATCTGAAAAGTTAATTTTTATACTGTCCTAGATTTTTTTTATATAATTGATGATACATATGGTTTTACCTAGTGGACTACAATTTAAAGGCATTGCCATGTCACATAGTTCTTACAGTTAGCCAACGTGGGCCCATTTAAACAGTCAAATCTTGAAGAGTTCAGGATGTGAAATCAGTTGCATACTCTCGATTTGGTACACTAGCGCTAGAGCATGCTAGTGAACCTATCAATATGGAATGGCACAATTGCAATGTTGATTGATCGCGATTGTGTTTCGGAGTAAGCATGAAGGTCATAAGATCAAACTCAATAGAAGGTTAAAACTTGGCTGAAAATTGCTAAGTTTTTTTCAATCATATATGCTGCCTAATCTACCCCAAATCACAAACCACCCTGTGCATTGGAAGTTATGCGACTAATGATGACTAAAATTTTTATAAATTATTTATGCTACATACCTTGATTCACTAATCTGTTGTCATCACTTCTCTGTTGAAGTGCTTCCAATAATTGCTTTTCGTTATTTACAACCAGAATTCGGAAGCTACTAGCATCCCGGAGTTTGCTGATACAATTTGAACAAATAAGTGTAGTCAATTCTGGATTTGTTGATAGCTGTGAAGTTTATTTATACAAATTATAAAAAAATGAAAAATGGATATACATTAACCGACAAAACAGTTTTGATAAGTGTATAAAGTTCTACCGATACCGGTAATAATATTAAAACTTTTAGAATAAATTTTGATGATTTTTATTCTAAAAATTCAGTACTTATTATATTATCATTAAGAATATTTATGTTACCTCAAAAACTTCCCATAGGATAGAATATATCTATATCTTGCTTAGTAATAATCAGAGGCATATCCACTTTATTCTTTCGCTGTATGAAATCAGTGTAAGTACATGAATAACTCTACCTAATTCCGACCACTGGTAATAATAAAGCTTTCACTGATTTTTCATTTCTATTCTTTCTCCTATTCCTCTTATAATTTTTAAATGTATTCATTATAAGCATGACTTTTTATAAAATCCTATTAGAGATATTGGTTTTTTAATTTAAATCTTTTATTTCGAGTTTATTCAACAAATTACGAAAGAAGCTTAAATTTACCTCTTGGCAGTGTAATTCGCTGAATAAACAATTTACAGCCTTATTAATTAAACAGTAAAAAAAAATAAAAGTGAAATGACTTGTGACACTTGGAAAGATTGAGGAATTCTTACTTACGCATAAATTAAAACATTCAGCGAAAATATCAGAATAAACTTCAGGGATGCTTTCCCAACAATATTCCGTAAATAAATCTTGATGATTGCCTTCAATTGAACAACAACGACATTGTCCATACTTAGTAATAAAACCATCGGCCGACATAATTCATTTAAGTCTTTCAATATGTAGGATATTTCGAATTGGATCCTTCAATAAAACTCACTTTCTACAAAACACTCAACACAACAAAACAATTTAATGTCATCCGCACATCCGTTTGTCCATAGCAAATAGTGTTGTGCATGCAGACTGAAAAACTTAGTCGAGATATTTGAAATTACGTTTGGGGACATTTCAAAAATACTTTAACCTGTTATAATGAGGAGGAGTCCCAAATAACCCGTGAAGCCCGCGCTGGGTATAGCGGGTATGCGCAACGCATTTCTCATTGGCAAAAAAAAAGTGCTGCTAGGCTGCCGTCAGTTTGGTAGCGCCACGCTATATGTTCTAAACTATAGAACTTAATAACTCATTCTTGTAGAACGTCAAGTCATTTTAGCATGAATTCTTAAATAATTGAAACTTGACATCATGTAGCTAATTCTTAAAAACGACATTTTAGCATGAATTCATAAATCATTGGAACTATTGAAACTCTGCACGTATTCACAAAATAAATTATCCTCAACAGCCGCAAACTATTTCACCAGCCTGATTATACCAATCGATTGTTCTTTAAATAAGGGACATTTCAAATTCAAAGAGGGTGGCGCTTCCAGGCTAACATATACATTGCACAGAACTATAGAACCCATATTTATTTCGTATATTCTTAATGTCTGTGTGTATATTCTTAATGTTCCTAATGTCATTAGATATGATTAAAAAAACATTCAAGGAATCACTTTTATTGTATAACATACATCTCAAAAAGGTATTAACCAGCCAAGCTAGCCTCCACAATTCTGTAGGTAAACTTGTAGCGTCCCATATTATATATTTATACAATTTTACCTATATAAATATTAGTGGCCGCCAGCGACTTCGTCCGCGTTTTCCATTATTTCTTCGCTCGTAATAGTTGCAGCATGATGTTATATAGCCTAAAGTCTTCCTCGATAAATGGTCTATTCAACACAAAAATAATTTTTCAATTCGAACCATTAGTTCCTGAGATTAGCGCGTTCAAACAAACAAACAAACAAACTCATCAGCTTTATAATATTAGTATAGATTTTAATAAATAAATATATATAGCTAAAATATATAATATGAAACAATCCGATAATGTAATACACGGGGGCTGTTATTGGTGTTACCCTACCATAAAAACCTGTACCTTATTCAAATCGAATTAAAACATTATTAAAGAAAAACGAAGTTTAATTTGAACATTGGTAATGAAACAAGTTAGTTTTTAGTAAATCTTTATTTATAAATACAATTTATGGCTAGCAACTTTCTTCATGAATTTTTTTTTTATTACATTGTTGAAGCCGAATGTAAAAAAACTGCTCTTTGTAAAATCTAACTTCTCTGTCTTTCGATTCATAAATTACAACGTAATATTCTTTGGATGAAAACGGGACATACTTTATTTTAAGAAAAACCATGGGAGCGGGGATTGACATACGTTATTTCTACGAGGTATAGCCCAAAAGTATAAATTACTAATGCAGTCTTGTCCCTCTTCGTCACTTCGCAGGAAACTGACAATGCGTTTTTGGCAAAATTCTCGCATAATTTTGAAAACGGAACATTTTTGGACCCTGGAGATATCTTTGGGGGACACCAGGACATACAACCGAAAAACGGAGCAGTCCCATTCAAAAGGGTACGTCTGGTCCCGTTAATTACACGGTACCTGCCTATGAATATAATAAACCAAATCAGTATAGTGCTATGAAACACTAGTACCTAAAAATATAATTTTATTTCATGTTACTTTACTATTGCAGTACTCATTCAAAGAGCATTTAAGCTTCTCGATGCGATACTGTTATCCCTATTGACGCTTGGAATTTAATATTCACATAGCGACAATTAACTTTACACAGAACAATTAGTTCCAGAGGCAGATGTCATGGTCCTTCGAGCCATATAAAACTAAACTCACTGCAAACTATATTCGTGATGATGCGTCTTCAAATGACCTTTCAAGCTGCACTTTTGCACAAAAGCTTGCCCACAAACAGCACATGCGAATCGTCTATCATTATTGTGTATCCTCATATGTTCTTTCAACGTTTTCTTCCTGGCGTAAGATTTTTTACAAACCGAACATTCAAATATCCTCTCTCCGTTGTGTTTAATCATATGCACCCTTAGTTCATTATTGGTGAAACACTTGTACGAGCACAAATGACACTGGAAATCTCTCTCCTCCAAATGATCACGCTTCATATGCCTCGATAAAGTATATCTTCTGTCGAAAGATTTATCGCAAACGTTGCATTTGTATTGCAACGGTGCCACACCATGCTCTTCGACCATGTGCTTCTGTCTTCTGAAATATTCGGAGAATCTCTCCGGGCATTTGGTACATTTGAACCGCTTCAACATTTTGTGTACCGTGTTAACATGGCTGTTGTGTTTCTGTTGCGTGGTGAATACTTTCTTGCATATCTCGCAGGGGAAACTACCCCCAACGTGCATACTCTTAACGTGCACTTTCAAACGGTATCTAGTCACGAAACCTGTTCCGCAATCTTTGCACACGTAATTCCTGAAGTGGACATTCATATGCCTCTCGATAGAGCCGAAAGTTTCGAAGTTGAAACCACATATTTGACATTCGTATACATTGTCCGCTGATAACTTGAAAGGTATCACTCTGTCGTTGTAATCTAAGTACATAGTCTTCTTGTGGTTTCTGGTCAAGTGTGTTTTAAGCTCGTTTAAGTTGGATATTCTAGCTTCGCATATGGTGCAGCATAGGTTAGTGACGTCCGCGTACACGACCAAGCATTCTGCACCATAAGTCCGTAAAACTTTTCGTAATTCACTCTTTTTGTGTTCGGTAGTGTGTTCCCTCAATTTATCCAAGTTGTCGAAAAGATGTCTACAGTAAAAACATGGGAAACCACTTCTGCTTCTACTACGGAACGGTGTTATGTTGGAATATTCTAGGAGAGTGGACGCGTTTATGATATGAGCCATTTTTTCCGTGACGAATTCTCTTTTGTAGTTCAAGCTCGATTTGTTTACATCGTCTTCTAAGAGTTTCCCGATCGAACTTGGCAATATCATGATGCCTGTGAATGTAAAATGACATATAAATAAAAACACCTGAATGGCAATTCTGGAAACGTTAGGGTAATTATGGAAAGTCAATAGCGCTTCAACTACAATAATTTATGATACAGGTCTTATTACTAGATCACAAAATGGTGGCAGATATATTTTTATAGATCTGTCACCATTCACTTGTGAGGAAGACATCATACGAATAATATTAGACTTTAGGTAGACAGCACCACAGTAAAATTAAAGTAGTTGAGACCACCACCGGCTCAATAAAACTTGACGTCTTAGGCAAAACATTTTAACGAAGCCCATTAAAAAAAATACACGTCTTGAAAAGTGTAATTTTGCCAAATGACAAGAGAAACTCCTTAGGTCTGAAAATATTCTACCTTTGAATACCGCGGCCAAGGTTTTATAGTAAAAAAACAAAGTCATTTTTTTTAGATGGAAAATTGGGGCATTATTTGGGTCGCGGTGATGACTGACACCGTAAACTATCTAACCTTTAAGAAAATTGAGATGCTTCACGTATTCGGAGCACGTTTTGTGTAAAGTCTTCCTTGTCGGCAATCTGATAGGTGGAAACCTGGCCAGGAGCTCTGCCTCGCCCTCTACCAAGTCCTCGTTACTTGCTATACTTAACGGAGCTGTAGCTGAAATAGAATTGTTATTGTATACATGTCAAATATGTGACATCAAAGAAGCTTTATAATATTGTTACGACATAGGGTTCCGGATAAAAATTATCGCCAATTAAAGTTTACAGGCCGATTTTATTTAACACAATAAAATTCCAAAAGATCTAATTACAAAATTCACACTTCAACATCACTATTTCATGTCACTAATTTGAAGATCAATTGAAATAATACGAAATTGGGTACCTAATATGAGGCAGGTTAGTAGAATACAAAGTTACTTGGTATAATAATAATAATTTAATAATAATAATAATTTTATTTATTCTCCTCACAAAAAACTTACATTGCATTGGGTAAATACATAAATATTATTAATATTAATGCTGTGAGGAGCTGGTGTTTGAAATGGGATTAACCTGTATTGCAAATCACCAGGACCCCACCCCTCGGCATGTTACAGAATTTCGTTTTATAGGTACTCATCATACAATGCTGTAATATAAAAATAAAAAAGAAGAGAAATATTTTAACATTTAACTTAGCACAATAAGAGCAAGAAAAAGGGATGTGTGAGTGTATGTGAGTGTAAGTGTTGGTGTGTGTGTGTGTGTGTGTGTGTGTGTGTGTGTGTGTGTGTGTGTGTGTGTGTGTATGTGTGTGTGTGTGTGTGTGTATGTGTGTGTGTGTGTGTGTGTGTTGGTGTGTGTGCGTGTGTGTGTTGGTGTGTATGAAGGTATATGCTTATTCTGATTATTTAAAAGAAATATATGAAACTCCAAAAGTTACTCTCAAATCACAAATTATTTATTTATAGCAGGTTTTCGGTGGAAATATAGTTAAGTTTTTGCAACCACCTCTTCACAACAGCTCTACATTTACTTGAAGTTAAAGAGTAAATTGATAAGATCCTATTTACCTTATTATACAAGTTGCAAGACTGATAGCAGAAGAAACGATGAGAGAAACAACTATTAAACTTGCTCTGGACACAGACTATGTCCTTTCTCCGCTTATGAATAAATTTATGGGGTTCATATTTTAACATTGAGTGCTGTTTAAGAAGGGTTTGAATAATATATAGTTGTCGCACTGTGAGTACATTGCACTTTTCATAGAGTTCAGTAGTAGGATAACGGTATGGTAACGACATACTCACTTTTAGAATTGCTCTCTGTGCCCTTTCTACTCTCAAAAAAGTTGTTTTTGCAGCTCCACCCCATACCACTATGCAATATGTAAGTAGAGACTGGCATAGGGCAAAATAAACGGTCCTAATTAACCCTGCATCACCTATGTGTCTAAGATTTTTAAATATTACCATAAGTTTTCGAACCCTTGAGGTTATCATTTCAATATGAGACTGGAAATTTAACCTACTGTCCATCATCACACCCAAATACTTTACACACTCAGATTTTAGTAATCTTGGACATATACATGATTTTTCATATTTTTTGTTACACTGATGGTATATTATGTTATAATAGGAGGAATCAGGTACATTATTCCGTAGGGCAAAAGTCATAAAGTGAGTCTTCTCTACGTTGAGTGTCAGCACGTTTGTTTTTAGCCAGGATGTTATTTTATTGAAACCCATCTGGGCATGAGAAAAAACTTCTTCCCAGGTGTCCCCACTAAACAGCAATGCAGTATCGTCAGCAAATGCGACTATCTGCATGTTAGGTAGCACTAACTGACATAGGTCATTAATGTAAGTCAAAAATAGAGTGGGGCCTAAAATACTACCTTGGGGGACCCCAAAGTAAATTGGAAGTTCTCTGCTGATGTGGTTATTAATTTGGACACGCTGGGTGCGATTAGATAAATAATCTTTAAAAAGTTTCAACTGTAGGTCTCGGATACCAAGACTTTCAAGTTTATTGATCAAGATAGAGACAGAGACTGTGTCAAACGCTTTCGCTAGATCCAAAAATATTGCTATCACTTTCTTTCTATTATCTATTTCTTTTACAATAAAGTCTGTTACTACATGGACTGCATCGGCTGTGGATGTGGCTGTGGTATAACACTAGATTCCCGATTACGATTGATCCTCATATTGATACCTTGTGAAGTAGACTGAATTCTGCATCTTTTTCTATTAAGAAATTTTAGGACTATTCAAGTCCTTATAATAATGAGCTTATTCAAATAATGCATTTTTTATTCATTCATTTAATTTCATCGAAAATTTTACGCGTTACTCCTTACTATTTAGTTGAAATCATAGATATCAATCGTGGCTTATGGCAATGACCAAACTGTATATACGTCCATGCATTTTATATATTAGGAAGCTTTTAAAATTAAAATATTAATGTCTTTTTTTATCTAAGGTCATCGTCTAATATCGATCCATTCAATACAGCTCAGAAAAGCTGGTTAAATATTTGACTTATAAAAGTGTCAATTTAATCTATGAGGTTTAAAAAACAACTCTACATACTAACAGAGGTGGTACGGTTTATTTATATGAAACTGTATACAATAAAATGAAAAGAACACGAAATCGAAAACAATATCATTGAACATTTATCATTAAGTAACGTTATACAAAACTTATGTATAACGTATATAGGTAAAATAAAATTTCCCTGTTCCATAACAAATCAAGTATGTTGGTCCTAATAAATATACAAAGTAGTTATTATTCTGCTGTCTGTGTTTTTTTTGCGTATACTATAATTGCCTGCTGTTAACATGCGAGCATGCATTTTAGATTGTGCTGTTATTGCGATCGTGTGTACGATAACGGGTGTGGAGTTGAAATATGTATTTTTCTGAGTAACACCACACTATAAATGAAATATAAATGAAACACATTCACTAAATTAGCCAGGACTTAACAGCACCTAACTTTCAAGCACTTATTATTTTTTCGCTAATACAGAACGTATTTTCATCAATGTTCAAGAGTTCTACCCAAACACCCGAAAGAATTTTATTTCTTATTACTATATTTCATTTAAATTCATTTATTTTAACACAGATATACGACACAGTACATGTTGTAAATAAAAATATGATAATACATAACACTAGACAGTGAAATATAATAAAAGAAAATATTAATCAAATATGTGACATTTTAAATTTAGCATCCCGTGGCTGCACTAAAAAGGGTGAGCAGTTGAGCATTTGTCAGCTAGAGCTAACGCTGATAACAATTTAATGCAAAGCATTTTTATTTATGTATAAAATATTTCCCAGTATTGTGAATGCAAAATTGTTAAAAAATAATATTGTTTTTATTGTTTATTTGCATTGAATAGGTTCCGAAACTACTGGAAAGATTTTAAAAACTCTCACCCAAAGGTGGCTACATCATACGCGGGTAACATAGGCTATAATTCACACGGACGAAGTCGCGGAAAAAATCTAGTATGTAATATATTAAAAAGTACAAGTCAAAAATAGGGATTATCTCATATTTTTCTGGGAAGCTTTATCTTATTAGTAATTTTTGTGTAATTCTTGTTTCAGTTGTGTAACCTATAGGGTTTATATATATACTATCTTTCTGCAAGTAGCTCTTATCCCGCGTGGTCCCTAGGAAACTGTTTATTCAGATATCAATTCATATCATGACACGGATATAATTACAATGTCAAATTGAATTAAACAATGGTTGTAGGAGATGGACTGTAGACTGGATTATCAAAGGCAGGTAGCAGAGGTCGCAAAGTAAAACACTTGGTTCGGAGAAACTCGGAGAACGTTCGAAGGCAGAACATGCTTTATTGCCAAAAATCGATTACTTAAGTACAATTTGATTGCTCGCACTTATCTCATACACAAATTAGTTATCTTATAAGATTTCTTAGAGTGGGGGTACGCTACCCCGCACCGCGCGGGGAGGGGAAGGTTTCGCTGTTTTCCCGCTGGTGGCGCTGTTGTCGCGACGTGCATCGACCGTCGATCTTTACAATGGTTACTATGGCAAAATTTTTATTTCCCACACAAACTTCCACTCCCATTTTCCTCCCTTTATTTGCTGTTTTCGGCATAAAATATAGCGTGCGTTCACCGCAAATGATGTACGTTCCCGTAGGTGAAAGAATTTATAATATTATTTTACTGATATGGCAACGGAAAAAAAAATTTAGAACTCACCAATGTCAACATACTCATTATCTGGTACATAATCCGGATCATTGTCTGTACAGTCGTCGTCAAAATCATTGGGTTCATATTTAACGTCAATATGCTGCTCTTGTTTTACAGGAGATTCCGTTATATCTTCCACTGGAACTGTAAAGATATGTTACTACAACAAATGTGGAAAAATATCTAAATCATTATATGTATTACTAGCTGTTCCCCACGACTTCGCCCGTCTTAATTATAGCCTATGTCACCCGAGTATAATGAAGATTATCTTAAGTGAAAAAAATTCCATGAACTGAAGAGTATTTCCGAAGATTACCTAAGTTTACCTATGAAATTAGTTAAAAACTTTCTCTTTATAAGCTGGTAATATAGCTTTCTGCAAGTGGTTTCGCTCACGTGGTCTTGTACTATACATAAAAACCTTCCTTTTGAATCACCCTATCTATTAAAAAAAGGCCGCATCAAAATCCGTTGCGTAGTTTTAAACATTTAAGCATACATAGAGATATGGGGACAGAGAGAGCGACTTTGTTTTATACTATTTAGTGATATAGTATACACCTATAGATTATTATTAGATAACATCGTATACATTGGTCAGAACCCAAAGAACAATATAGAAATGCATTTTCTATATTCACCCGACTGGAAGCTCAGGCATGACATCACCTTGAAATCAGCATATGACCCACTAGAATCTATACATAATAAAAAAACAAAGTCGCTTCCCGATGGCTTTCAATGCGTTTTTCATCAATACATAGAATAATTCAAGAGGAAGCTTTATATGTATCAAAAAGAACCACATGGGCATTCATAAAACGTGGGTACCATTTACAAAGACCATCTCCTTTTTCTCCGTCTCCTTGAGTGCTTCAAGCAATTGTCGTTCTGTGGCAGCTACCGTCATGCGGAAACTGTTCGCTTCACGGAGCCGCTTTATGCACGATGTGCATATCAACTTGCTTAGATTCATGTCTGTTGACAACTGGAAAAAATAATGGAATTCTATAAAAGCATTAACACATTCTTTTCACGTGAACATAAACTTGGGTGATAGAATTATCCATCAGAATCCTTCAGACCTTCTAATCAGAATAAATTCATACATTCACCATTTAAAAATGTCATTTAATTAACATAGAGGAAGAGAGAGATAGATAGATCCATAAAATATATATTTTTTGCTATAATGTGTCAATAAGACAATATAGTTTATTTATATTCTTATGAATATAAATTCCTAAAATAAAAAGAAAAAAAATTCCTTTCAAATTTTAACTAGGTACCAACTTCTAACCTCATATCATAATACACAATTATGATCATATACATAAATACTTGTCGCGTTACTTTACTTGTGTAGCAGTAAATATATCAATAAATTATATAAAATAAGCTAAATTCAATTTTAAAAATTTCAATTTTATTTAACATTGATAGGTAATTTTAATTTAATATAATATTGATCATAAAATTGTATATAGTGAAGTTATAAGTTGGTAGTTAAAATTTAAAAGGAAAACTTTCTTTTCTTCTTTTTTGGCTATTATTTTTTACTTTTTAGTTATCGCTGGCTAGATTCCTCAGTCTGTTCATCACATTCAAAGTATCATTATTGCAAGGTTGTTTGCCAGTTAATTTCATTAATATATTTAAAGCATAGAAAACTTCAATAGTGCACCATATTGGATTTAGAGTGATATCACATTGTTTTTCTAATTATTCTCAGCAAGCCCTTTCATTTGATACCCACATTGCAGAAGTACATAAATAATAACTATTTCCCCATATTTAGAATTTAGAATAAAGGCACAATCTTTTTCAAGTTACTCTCAACAAGCCCTTTCAGTTGGCAGTAATGTGCTGACGCAAAGTGCCACTAAAGTTAAGAAGACTTATATTGTAGAAGTGGATTAAAAATAATTATTCTGCCATCCTGTATGGTCCGATATTGGATTTCGAATGACGTAACACATCATATAATGCATTGTCTTCCAAACTAAATGTGTTTACAAAATTTCAGTTCAATCGAAGATATCTACTTCAAAATTGAGTTCAAAGATTCCACCTGAACAAACATACTTATATACATTGCAAAAATATATGTAAATATTCTCATTCACTGTCTACACTCTTATTGTACCAACTAGCTTTCGCGTGATCTCTAGGGAAATGTTTAATGGGATAAAAAGTATTCTATTATCTAAGTCAGCTAATACCATATCTTTATACTAAATTTCGTTAAAATCCGTTCAGTAGTTTCTGTGTGATTGACGGACAAACGTCCAAAGAAACTTTCACATTTATAATATTAATAAGATTACCATTTTCTTTAGTTTATATCATTAGGGTTGCAAACATTTATTCAGTTAAATATTTGAAAAAGTAAGCTATAAAATAGTGTTAGTTTTCTGCCCACATAATTATACATATCTCCTATCCTATCATATTTATAACCAAATAGCTTACTTATTCTAAAGTATAATTTATCTCTGCCACAAATTTCATACAAATCCGTTCAGCCATTTTGACTTCATTGAGTTACAAACACCAACACATCTAAACTTTCTAATGATTTCATTTCATATTAAAAGTAAAGATAGGCCAATTCTGTACTCAATTTTTCATATAAAAAAACTCTTATTACAAATGCATTAAATATGTATGTACATGCTATTGCATTAGTCAAATTCAGTAAATGTATAGGTGCAGTAAGAACTTAAAAAAAAAACTATTTGATAGATTTTGGTGTTAATTTGTTAATTGTTGAAAATATAGTATTTATGCATACTTTATATTTTTCCAACAGTATATAGTACACAGACCAGAAATATTATACAATAATATATATCAAAGTACAGTTGCCAACCTATATATCTTACACCACTGAGTAGGAAACAACCACAATAATTTTACTGGTATTATCGGGACATTTATGTTAATACAGAAATTTAATACTTACAAATAAATTAAAACATTCCATGAAAATATCATAATACACTTCTCTTATTCCGTTGCTGTAATATTCCTTCATAATATCGCGATGATTACCCTTGGCTAAACAACACCTACATTGTCCATAACTGGCCAAGCGTTTTGAATCCATTTTCGTGGATGTCTTTTAAAATTCAAACCTTTTTTTTAGTTTTGTTATTAAAATAGCAATAATTATTAATAAAGTACAAATAAAACTGAAACTATGAAAACAACCAATTCGTTTGACATATTTTGAGTAGTAGCAGTAGTTTCGTCCATGGGACAGGCGAAAAGGAACTTAGCCATACAGCCAAATCTTGGGTTATTATATTATTTTAAAAGGCAATGCCAAATCTTATCTTGTCTTTTTTTTATTCAGTCTTCGATATATTAAACGTAAAATTCATTGAATTTAACTCATTGAACTAGAAAACCAGAAGGTTGTCATGGAGAAATCAAGAAAGCACTGTTTGATTTCGGGAACTAATTTTTTTTTAAATACTTCCTCATTTGAAAAATAAAAAAATACTCATTAATCACAGCCTTTATTACTTAAAAATAAATGAAAACTTTTATAAAAATTACAATTTTTTATCCAACAAATCTATATAAGCACACTCTATCAGGTCCTCATCTTTGACTCCCAATTTAGTTTGCAAGTCTTTAGCTATTGCCTGGCCCTCTTCAGTGGTTTGTTCAGGTCTAAGTACAACTTCCAGTTCCATATAGTCTCCTAAGTCTTCAACACAGTCTATATGTACACGAGTTTGTCCTACTAAATAAAGTTTTCTGAAAAGTAAAAGGCATAAACATTTATTCTTATTATTACACAAGAAGGACAATTTGTATTATCATAATCATCAGCCCTTTTAAATTCCCACTGCACTTATTGATGGTTAAGGACATTGGGCTATGACCCTCCATGGCGGCTTAATGAATATTGAAGGCCATTAATGAATATTAAAGGAACCAACATTTTAACATAGCAGTAGCTTGAGATAATTTTCTTTTTGTGACCCATCCTGTGACCCACACTTGCGAAAGTTGCTTAAAAACAATGATTGCAGGCCGCAGTGCTTATCCACTATGCGACTTTCAATTCTTATTATTACAAGTATAATACTGTAAAAGTTACTATAGTTAATGCTGTGATGATATGGAAGGATGTAGATAACTAAACATAAATAAAAACATGTTGAATAATTGTACAAAACTCAATTTTAATAGAAATTAGAATTTAAGATGTGATACTTTGTTTAATCTTTAGGATTGAACACTAAGCATTTATAAATTAATCCCAGTCCTAGGTAATAGGTATCCAATAACAGCAGTTTTGTATGTTTAAGAAAAAGCATTTTAGCAACCTACCTTGATAAAATGTTTTTTTTTCTCTATAAAAAGCCAAAGTATAATTAAGATATACTAGATTATGGATGAATATATTTACCGTTCTTTGATTACTCTGCCTCTTTTGCCTACACACTTGGTGAGCATTCTGTCAAGCGATTTTGCTTTTTCACTCTCCGCTACAGAAAATTCAAAGAGGTCATAGTTGCTAAGTGTTGGACCTTCTTTGTCTGCACGATCGTAACGAACTAAAGTGGCCGACGAATCGGCGTAGAATCTCATTTTCAGTCGACCATCGTTTACTTTGTAAAATGTATCATCTTGTTTTATAATTGTTGGCGGACCTCCACTTAGATGTTCGGCTACCTTGCAAATGTTTTCAAAGTTGTTAACTTTTGCTTTGATTTCCACATTCCTCATTTTATCACTATAATTAGATATCACGTAAATTATTGCATGCGAACTCCCAGTTTAATTCTTAACGAGCACTTCTTATATAAACTAATTGACTGCGCTTTTTTTTAAGAATTAAATTTGTTTTTTTTTTATTGTTCACATTATACTTAAATGTAATGCTGTAAAATGTATTTAAAAAAAATTAGTTCCCCAAATCAACTCGGAACGTTCTGTAGCGACATCTAGTTTGATTTCAGGAACTAATGTTTTTTTTAACTACTTCCTCATTTAACTGTACATGTACCTATATACAAACGGCGTGCGTGGTATAGTTAGGGAGCAACGATATATTGAAACTCCGATATATATCAATATATCGACGCCCGAAAATACCGATATAGTAGAAGGATCTATAGGTATATCATAATCGAAAAACCGACGTATCGAAACTACAATAAAATCCTAAGAGTTAAATTGTGTTTTAACTGGTCTGAATATTCAACGGCATCTTAACATGTGAAATCACATTAGTAATACGTACGAGATAATTGTATAAACCTGATTTTTTGTTTTGTAATAATTTTTTATAAATTTCAAAATAACGTGTTATTAGGACACTTTCCTATTGTGGTCAGGAGCATTTCTTTTGAACGCCTTTACTTCTCAAAGAATGACGAGATCAAGGAATTTTTATCTACACCAAACGTCACGTTTCTCAGTCGAGAGTGAGATATCGTTATAAGAAAAAGGTTATATTTTTGGTCAAGCTTGGTCATGCTACGCGTGCAGGTTCCAATATTACATGAAGTAGGAACAGCATCAGTAGACAGGTATTTTCTTTCATAAAAAATTATTTTCAACGATTTTTTTTTATTTAATGAAGAAGTATTTAAAAAAGAAACTTAAAAGTTCTTCTTTTTCTTTTATTTATGGCTTATCTGCGCGTTTCGCACAATTCTGCCAATTTCACGTGAAAAACTATTACACGGTACGGATACTTATGAAAAAAATAGTTTTGGAAAAGGCTTATTAAAAATTATTCCACTTTCTATGACAGTTTAGCGATCCTGAAACAATAACAACACATTTTACGACGTGCAGGACATCACAGAATAATATACCTTTGGGTACCGATTTAGTAAGCAGGGTAAATATTTGTACTTTTATAATTTAATTTTGTTATTTAATTTAAATTTAATTAGTATGCTTAACAAAGGTGAATTAACTAACTGAAGGATATTTTTGACATTTAGGGGCCGGGGTATATCATTTGGAAGGAAATCATATAAGAAGTAACGAAGTTTGGGGCATTCAAATAAACATGTTCGACTGATCCTTCATCCAGCCCGCATTCACAAAGGGAATTGTCCTTAACTTTAGTTTTGGCGAAGTGGACAGGGACGCAAGAGTGTCCAAGTCGTAGGCGACACAATACTGAAACCACTTGTTTCTAACATTTTTCCGACGGAGATACCAAGGTTTATAGAGAATGATTGGTTGGATGTCGTAATAATGTTTACCGGTATAATTCGAGTATTCTGGCAGTGTGTTTCCCACGACTGATATAAATGAGAATGAGTAAGAGGAAGAAAATCTTGACATGATAGTTTAGAATAGCTAGTAGTACCACTAGATATTGCTGTACGAGCACATGATTCCGCTGACTCATTGTCTTTTATACCACTGTGGCCTGAGATCCAAACCAACACCAGTTCTAAGTTTTTCTTTCTACATCTATATAACGCTTCTCTGATTTTAAGTATAATAGGAAAGCGAGATTTAGATCTGAAAGGGTTGGAAGAGATTGATTGAAGAAAACTCAGAATCAGATAAAATTATAGTTTCATTAAGGTTGTGAGATTCACAATATAAGATTGCTTCTAGAATAGCGATTGCTTCACCTGTAAAGACTGATGAGAATGAAGGAACTTTAAAACTTAATACTATTCTTAATTTAGGTATCCACACTGCAGCACTAACACTACTTGTGTTTGACAGTTTTGAGGCATCCGTAAATATTAGAAGCCAATGAGGCCAGTTATTAGCAATTACTTTATTTAAATCTTGGTTTGCACTGGGAGAATGAATTTAATGCCCAAATCAAGAACTATGTTAGGGCTAAAAAGCAATGATTCAAAACTATTTAGGAATAGAGAATTACGGGGGAATTTCTCGATCATTATAGAAGGGCGACAGAACTTCGAGTAACTCGTTAAAATACAGGGATTTTTTTGATGTGAATTGGGACCTATGGCAGTAGCATCGACAAATTTGTGTAGAATAGCTAGCAACGGGTGAGATTCATTTTGTAAAATTTTGAGGAAAAATCTCTCACTGAGATATTGCCTACGAAGAAAAAGAGGAGGGTCATTGATATAGTACTCTTTCGTCATCTCTAGATATCTATGATGTTTGTCATTATTGTCATAGTTTTTCTCTTGTCTTCTGATATTTTCCTATATGTATTTTATAAGCTGAATAAAGCCTTTAATTCTCAAGGCTTGTCTTAATTACATAACAATTTATTCAGCTTATATGTAAAACACTATTTTCAAAATGTCTATAGAAAAAGTCGAAAAGGATTCCGGAAAACTCAAATCTAGTATGATGCGTTATCTACGACCAGATCGCTTTGAGGAGGAGCCAAATGTTCCAGCAGCAGATCTGAAATGGAAGCACTGGCGTTTTACATTTGAGAATTTTCTATCTGAAGAATGTGGAAAGAATACTGAAGATTCTATAAAGCTAAAGCTGTTAGTAAACCACATATCTCCAACTATCTATTCTTACATTCGTAATATCTCGACGTATTCGGAAGCTATAGAAACTTTAGAAAATACTTACATTAAACCTAAAAACGAAATACTTGCCCGTCATCTATTAACATCGCGGAGACAAAAATCGGGAGAATCTTTAAAAGAGTACGTACAATCCCTAAAATTATTAGCTCTTGAATGTAAATTCCAAGCTGTAACCGCTGAAGTTTACCAAAATGAAATGATACGTGGGGCATTTATTGCCGGAATCAATTCCCAAAAAATAAGAGAAAGATTATTGGAAAAACTAAACCTTACCTTAGAAGAAGCCATGAATCTAGCCATGTCTTTAGAGGACGCTGAGACTAATACTCAAGCCTTCACGAACGCGAACTCTTCTCTAAATCTCAACGCAGTACCAAATTCGCCCGCTACCTTTTTGACTTCTCGCCAGAACAATAAAGGGCGTATCACAAGACGTTGTTTCTTTTGTGGTGGAAACGTGCACCAGAGAATCAAGTGCCCAGCTTTCCGTGCTGAATGCCAGCTCTGCTCAAAAACAGGACATTTCGCTAATGTTTGTCGAAGCGGTCTGCCTCAAAGAGTAAATGCTGTAACTGAAAATGAGATAGAAGTAATTGAAAGCAAAGAAAATTTGTCTGTAATATTAGCTGCTTCACCAAATAGTCTCAGAAAGGCTACTGTATCTATTACTGTCAATGATTATCGAGCAGATGCATTAATCGATAC